GACTAATTGTATTCGCGAGTATGAGAGAGGAGGGGAAAGAGAGGGAGAGAGAAAGAGAAAGAGGCCAATAAAAAGGATGACATGCAAGAGATTCATTTCTTAAACTCACGCGAGAAAATCAATGAGAACTATCGACGAAATCCTTTTCAAAATTTTAAACTAACAAAAATAAAAAAATAAAGAGAGAGAGAGAGAGAGAGAGAGAGAGAACGTGAATAGTTTTAATTAACAAAAAAAAAAAAAAAAAAAAAAGATAACAGAATTAGTACACTTATATACATATATTCGTACACAAAAAAAAAATCAAATGCTACTGTGTTTTTATTTTTTTTTATTTTTCAAGCCGAATACTCGCATCCACGAGTTCATTTTCATTAGACCAATAGTACGTGTCGATGTGGGACGAAAAGAGAGAGAGAGAGAGAGAGAGAGAGAGAGAGAAAGAGAAAAAGAAAAAGAATTAAAATAAAAAGAAGAAAAAGAAAAAGACAGAAAAAAGTGGAACAAAATAACAAAAGACAAACCGAGAACGATCGCTGTGTTTCAATCGTCGATGATGACGATGTTCTTCCTGATGGACACAATATATATATATATATATATATATATATATATATATATATATATATATGTACGTATGTATCTATGTACCTATCGTATTCGATAGGTACTCTTGCAACAGATTTTCATCTCTCGTTGTATTCCATCGTTAGTACGAACGCACGCACGCATGCACGCATGCACGCATGCACGCACGATCTCGAATTTATTTCGATGCTCGTCGAATGTGAATTGGTTTTATGTAGTGAGCGAATAACCGAATAACTGAATACAAGAGAAGTGTGAATTTTTCTCTACGTTCGTATAAAAGACCGATTGTTCTTTTACCTAGAAAGAAAGAAAGAAAGAGAGAGAAAGAGAGAACGAAAAGGGGAAGGAAAGATGGGAAAGAACAAAATAAAATATAATAAAATATAATAAAATAAAATAAAATAACAGGGAGATATAAAAGAAAAAAGAAAATGATTAAGGATAATAAGGGACGAGGTGGGATGAAGAAAAAGTGAAATTTTTCGTTCGTTAATTCGTTCATTTTATAGACATCGTTCGATGCGAACGAGTTTATCGAATAGTCACGATTGACTTTAACGAAATGAAAAGAAAGAAAAAGAGAAAAATAAAAAGAAGAACGAGAGAGAGAGAGAGAGAGAGAGAGAGGGAGGGAGGAAAGGAACACGAAGCCCTTAAATTCCCACGTCGAGACCAGGCGAAAGAAGAGGAAGAAAGAGAAGAAGAAGAAGAAGAAGAAGAAGAGGAAGAAGAAGACTTAACACCTAACATGCCCAGACGCCATTTGTTCGATGAAGACACACTACCTCTAATAAAGAATTGTGTCGGCGTAACGAACAATTAGCGAAGAAGCAGACGGCTCTGAAGGGAATTTCCTCGGCCACGTTCGACGTTTCAATGTCGGAAGAAAATCGATATCTTTCTTTCTTGAGAGAGAGAGAGAGAGAGAGAGAGAGAGAGAGAGAGAAAGAGAGAGAGAGAGGACTAACCAAGAAAAACGGACATTAACTTCCTTCTCCTTCAACTTAGACATCCCCCACCTGTCTGTACCCTCCCTAACCTCTATATATACACATACATACATACATACACACACATAAGCACACATACACTTTATCCTTTTCTCTCTCTCTCTCTCTCTCTTTCTCTCCCCTTTATTCAACAAAATCCTTCTTGTATTCACTTTAGGACCCTTTCGTACCCATTCGAAACGACTTCCTTCAACCTCCGAAAGTAACCCTTTTCATTACGAACATAGTTATAACTATGAAATAAGGGTTAAGTCCGTAGTTAACTAGAACGTTAGAAATTCAAATAATTTTTCCTTAATGTTTCCTCATTTCGTTCGTATACATAAAGATATATTCTAATCTTGTGTATAAAAATTGATACTATTAAAAGAGAGAAAGAGATATTCATATAGTGCATGTGTATATGTGTGTGTGTGTGTGTGTGTGTGTGTATGTGAGAAAGAGAGAGAGAGAGAGAGAGAGAGGGAGATGGAGGATTCGGGTTTAGTTTTTTCTTTTTCTTTTCTCGACGTTGACACTAACGAGGCGTAAAAAAAAAAAAAAAAAAAAAAAAGAAAGAAAAGAAAGAAAAGAAAAAAAAAGAAAAAGGAGAGAAAAAAAAAGGAAGAAAAAGAAAATTAGTATGGAGTAGCGTATAGTACGATACAAAAGGGAGATTAAAGTGAGATTAAATCGAATATGAGCAAGAGACTAAACTGAAAGAGCTTTCTCTTCTCGGTACTGGTTATGTCTATCTAGTACGAGCAAGATAACTCTACATTGTTATCCATCGGATTAAATATTTATTCGTTCGTCAAGCGTAATTACAAAATATCGGGAGAAAAGAAGAGGGCTTATGAATGTAGAAACTTGAAAAACTATTTTCAGAAAGGATATTCAAATAATTTTCCACGATAAATGATTACTATTATATATGAATATTCAATATAAAATATGATTATAGATATTTATTTTTGATAGATATCTAAAGGAGATAAGAAAGATGGGAAAAAACAAATATGAAGCGAGATAACAATTATGATGATAATAATAATAATGATGATGATGATGATGATGATGATGATGATGATGATGATGATGATGATGATGATGATGATAATGATGATGATGATGACAGTAACGTTGCAATAGAACAAACCCTAAGTGATACTCATTTAACTTAAGTCCATGAATATTACTTTACCTGTCTTAATTAAACCAAGCTGATAATTTTTCAAGAAACGCAAATAATAATAATAATAATAATAATAATAATAATAATAATAATAATAATAATAATAATAATAATAATAATAACGACGCGAAAGCAGCGAATCCTTCATCGAGCTCGTAATTACATGGCGATTCTGCGGTAATTAATTGCGAGTAGTAGTGTCATGGCTGCGGGCGGTCTCGATATCGCCTCCGGGAAAGTCCGTGCACTTCCTAATTAACGAGACGATGATATTTTCCGTGGGTGCGCGGAAATGTTACCGGTATACAACGCTGACAGTTTCAGTTTCTGGAAATCGAATAGAAAATTCGTCGACGTGATTATTGCATGTTCCCGTGAGTCAACTAATAAACCTGTACCCTTTCCATCTGGTTACATTGTATTATTAAAAAGTTCAACTATTGCTTGATATTAATGAGTTACAGAAAAGGAGAGGGATGGAGGGGAGAGGGAAAAAAAATACAAGGAAAAGAAAAAAAGAAATGTAAAAAAGAAACAAGAAAAGTGAAGGGAGAAGAAAAGAAACAGGATTGATTATGATCGTAAAGGGAGAAAAAAAAAAAAAAAGACAAAAAAAAAAAAGAGAGAGAGAGAGAGAAAAGAAAAAGAGAGAAAGAATAAAAATAAAAATAAAATCAAAAAGAAACAATAAATATATTTTGTTCGAATATGAAATCAATTTGGGAGAAACCCATTGTGAGTACAATCAATGAAAACGAGAATCTGTTTCTCGTGCGTGGCACTAATTTGATGAGAAGGGAAGCCGCCGAACTAAAGCGGGCCCTTTCATCGACAATTAACCGAAAACATCGTTCGTACGGCCTAGCCCGAGGTCATTACCGATAATTTCATTACGCGTCTACTAGCTACGGCATACGTACAATGAGAAAGAGAGAGAAAGAGAGAGAGAGAGAGAGAGAGAGAGAGAGAGAGAGAGAGACAGACAAATAGACAGACAGACGTTTAATAATTGATTCGCCGTCGTCTCGACCATCTTTGCTGGTCTACGAATATAATGATAATGATAATGATAATTATAATGATAATGATAATGATAATGATGATAATATTGTAATAAGTCATGCATTTATCTTAATGAAAAGCTTCCTCTCTCTCTCTCTCTCTCTCTCTCTCTCTCTCTCTTTTTCTTTTATCTTTTTTCGTTCTTCTTTTGTAAAGTTAGCGACAGAAAAGTACAATGAATTTTCCTCTCTGACGATGGGAGGATATATAATGAGAGAATATTTAATTACCAAGAAAATGTTGGGCGAACAGTAATATTGTTAATAACACGCCCGACAGAATATTTATTAATAATTTCTCATCGTTTGATGAACGAATTATTTGAAATTTATCGAGACAGATGTATGACCGGCGTTACCTTTCACGAATAGGTTTGTGTGTGTACGTGTGTGTGTGCGTATGTCTCTCTTATATATACGTAGGTATACCTATGGCAATTTCAAGTGAACGATATCGTATTAATTATGTTGCTAGTATAGCGATATGCTCATGCGGCTACCCGCACGGCTCATAGATAGTCGGATTACAGACTTGCCAATATTGATTAATTGGCTATCTCTTCGTCTTCGTGCTTCCTTTACATTATCTATGAGTTATCTATTCTTCCTAAATTACGGCCAAACCTTTCTTTTTATAACGAAGAACACGTCAAATGATTGCTTTATAATGTCCATGTTTATCGATTAACATGTTCGTGAAAGTAAAAAAAAAGAAAAAGAAAAAAAAGAAAAAAAGAAAAAGAAAATAACGAGCAATTAATATTTCCAATAGAACGAATAAATAAATAAATTAATAATATTCTTCATTTATTTATTTTCCATAAGTTTAGCTTAATTTTCATTCGAAGATAACGCGATAAGATGGACAATATATTAAATGATAATAATATTGTTTTCATTGAATAACCTCTTATCGAACGAATGATATCGATAATTCGATAAAAGGAAAAATATTTGATTATTTTAATATGAACATATTAATAATTTAATAAAGGATAAGAAATATTACGCGAAGGAGAAAGAGAGGAAGAGAAAATGAAAAGGAAAAAGAGAATGGAAAGAAAGAAAGAAAGAAGGAAAGAAAGAAAGAAAAAAAAAAGGAAACTTTTACAATTTTCCATCGTCGATTCGAATACATTTCGTATGTTATTCTTTTTATTTCAGAGAATTTAAGATGAGACTTGTAAGAGACACAAGCCTTTTCCATGAAGAGACAACTTTCGAAGGATCGAACGACCGAAATATTGCCTTCGATCCTTCCCACACGTACAGCGGCACGTTGGAGGGTAAGTGAACGCAAATATATACATACATACATACATACATATATACGTACGTACATACATATAGTTATATAAAGTTACCTTGATCCAGTTCAATAACCTTTGTTTAACAATTTTACGATAAGGATTCAATGGTTTATAGGAAACAGTATAATAATTCCGCGCGATTACGATCGATAAAGTTTCCATTCGCATAAGATCAGAACTGGGGGAGGGGGGGAAGGGGAAGGGCCGAAAGGGGGTAGGGGTCAGGGGCAGGAGCGGCGGCGGGGGGGAGGGGGTTATAGAAAACTTCATCGATTATCTGCAGGATGCACCACACTCGTATCGAACTTTCATAAGGTCTCGTTTATAGGCTCGTTAAAATCCCACGCTCCGAGGATGATGCACGCCTCGATAAAATTCAAATTTCTATTGTGAGCCACTCCTCTGTTTCGTCTCTTCAAATAACGAAAAATAAAAAAGAAAAAGAGAGAGAGAGAGAGAGAGAGAGAGAGAGAGAGAGAGAGAGAGGAAAAAAAACAAGAAAGGCAAAGGGAATGCTCGGATAAAAATTCAAATACAAACAAATCGATTTTTCACGTGGGATCGAAGCCACGTGAAGAGAACGGAAGGCAAGTGGAGCGAAAGAGTTTGCCGATATTAAGTCACGGGTAAACCCCGTCATCGGCCAATTCTCTCTCCCCTTACTCCTGGACCACCTGATCCCACCCAACCACCCACCCATCCACCCACTCCTCATCGAACTTACTTTTCTTTTCTCTTTGCTGGCAACGCGCATGCGCACGTGCATTAAACCGCAAAAGTACAAACAGCCACCCTCCGTCCCTCCTCTTGCCCCCTTTGTACGGGTATACGATCAAAGGAAAACCCGTTCCTTTCTTGGCTCTTTTACTTGCCTATCCTCTTCACCGCCCGCTCCTACCCCTTCCATCTCCGTTCGTCGTTGCATTCGATTTTTCCACTTTTCTCCTCCCCCCTCCACCCTCCCCTCCCCCAAATTCCCATATTACTACCCTTCGATTCCTTGTTTCTCCGTTTCCCACGATTTTTCTGACCTCTACGTAGCTCCGTTCCTTTTATATTCGTTACCATCTCCCATCCCTCCTCTTCACTCCTCTACCCACCTATCGGTTCCATACCTACCTCCATCCCACCCTTATCCCTTCTCTGGCAACGATACATGCTGCTCGCCATAGTGGGTTATTGGATGGTTTCCAATATGCCGGGGTTGCTACGCTCGACCACCACCGAGACCACTTTATGCCGGAGATCGCTATAACTTGTACATTTTTTACGGTCCTCGGAATAGTATCGTGAGCCAGAAAAAAAAAAAAAGAGAGAGAGAAAAAAGAAAGGTTGGACGATGACGCCTAATGACGACGACGACGACGACGACGACGACGACGACGACGACGACCACGACGATGATGATGATGATGATGATGATGATGATGATGATGATGATGATGATGATGATGATGATGGCGATGATGATGATGGCGACATGAGTGGTGAAAGGTAATCCAGTCTTTTTTGCCCATCCGGATTTTCGATATCACGATATCAAAGCAAACGTTATATGAAAAAGTATTGGGGGTCTGTTCGAAGTTTTGGCAGGACAGCTAAATTTTTGCTGTTGGACGTGAACGATATTACGCGAGAATGAAACCAGATGTGTGGGAAGGGGGGAAAGGAAGGGGTCGTCCAGTGGAGTGAGAAGTATATAATCATAACCGCTGGACGATATGTGTTTCCTTTTTCTCTCTCTCTCTCCCTCTCTCTCTCTCTTTCTGTCTCTCTGTCTCTCTCTGTCTCTCTGTCTCTCCTTTTTGCTGGAAGGAGGACAAAATTTTCGAAAGCGTTCGCTTCCGAATGAAGAAATAACGAAGAGACGAGGAAAATTTTCAGAAGTATCGCAACGAGAGAGAGAGAGAGAGAGAGAGAGAGAGAGAGAGAGACAGAGAGAGACAGAGAGAGAGAGAGAGAGAGAGAGCTACGAATTCGTCGTACTTTTGTCCGTTTAATCACCGTTATGGAAAGTACAGAAACGAGGATGAGCTTTTTTATTTCTTTTTTTTTTTTCTTTCTTTCTTTCTTTCCCCTTTTTTTCCCAGAGAAACTATTTGAATTCGAACGAGAAATAATGAAGAGATACTATATAGTAAAGATTTACTGTTATACGAACATTGCAATACTCAATCAAATCCTACGATATGAAACTGGGATAGGAAAGGTGCATTTCATGGACGAGAAATAATTGAATATTTTCTTATATATATATATATATATATATATATATATATGCGTGTGTGTGTGTGTGTGTGTGTGTATGTGTGTGTATGTGTGTGTATGTGTGAGGAAGAGATAGAAAGACTGATTTATCGATGCTTAGTTTGGGCGCGTTTTTTCTTTTTTTTTTTTTCTTTTTTTTTTTTTTTTTTTTTTCTTTTTTTTCTTTTTCGAGATGTCGCGTATTGTTCGTTGCCGAGTGACGGTTTGGCGACAAAGAATTATTTGTTTTTCTAATACAGAGGTTCCCAATCTACAATACGTTACGTGAAACATTAACATTACGGGGAAGATTGAAAAGCTTTAAGTAATAAATTATTTAATAAAAATTATGAAATTATTATGAAATTATTATCACTTAAATAAAAATTATAATGATTAATATTACTTTACTTTATTAATATATTTCATTTTATATTATAATGAAATATTTTGAAATAAATGTGCATTTTTTTTATTTTTTTTTTTATTTTAACTCCGATATTCATTTACTTTAATTCATTTATTTGTTATTAATGCATTAATCTATCTAAGCTACTTTATGAAATAATGAAAATGTTTCATTATAATTTCAAGATTTTTGAATTGTTCCGTCATAGGAAAAAATTTGGGAAACGCTGTTCTAATAGATATGAATATGTTTTTTGGATGTTTCTGTATATGAATGGCTCTTGTGAGAAATGACCGAAAAAAGTAGTAAATTTTGAAACTCTAAAAGTGAAGCACGGTGAAAAGCAAATAGTTAGTTAATATTTGTCTAATCTTCTTTGTCATAATCGTTATCTTTTAAAAAAAAAAAAAATATTTACTTTATCTTTTCTTCAAAATAATAAATGGACATTCATTTTATTTATTTAAATCTATTATCCCATATATACATACATATGAAAAAAGAAAAAAAAAAAATAGACATATTTCGTGAGGGATTGAAATTACCAAAAAAATGTTTCTACAGATTTGTTTGATATGAAAGGGACACATCATATGGTGCCAATTTTTTTTTTTTTTTCAGGTCAAATGATGGAGGAAATTTCAAAAAAGTCAAATCCATGTTTTTTTTAATGGAACTATATATCTCTCATTTCACAGTTGGTTGACATTTATTGTGATGAATTAACAACATATTTAACGATATTCCAAAGTCATTTATTATTTTGAAATATTATTAATTATATCATAAATTTATGAGTACCTAAGGAGTATAATCCTGTATCATTTGTTGTCACCTTTTAGGCTATATATTATAAACAAAGATCGAACTTCTTACGAAATAAATTTCGTTTACTTAGATCGATGAAAAGGACAAAGAGACAGAGAGAGAAAGAGACAGAGTGAGAGAGAGAGAGAGAGAGACAGAGAGAGAGACAGAGAGAGAGAGACAGAGAGAGAGAGAGAGAGAGAGAGAGAGAGAGAGAGAGAGAGAGAGAGAGAGAGAGATGGCAAAAAAGAAAGAAAACAATTTTAGAAAAAATATTCAATAGCATTACGAGATTATGGTGTTTCAACGAGAATCAAGGAAAAGTAAAAAATTTTTATATATTTTCTATCAATACGTGATCAGACCAATGAATATAATATACCTAATACACAAAAATCTACTACAAAAGTATATGAGAAAAGAAAAAAAAAAAAAAAAAAAAACGTTCGATATTTCGTATAACTCGTGGGAAACGAATTTTATTTCATATCCATTTCTTTAAATGTGACGAAGGAAAAGATCAAGAGGAAACATTTTCTCAAAGTTACATCGCACTTCGTAAAACTCGTACGAGTTATACTACGTGCGTGCGTGCATGCGTGCGTGCGTGCGTGCGTGAATTCTTACGATTGGATATGCGCAAAAGTCGACGAAGAAGTAGTTTTCTTCTTCTTCTTCTTCTTCTTCTTCTTCTTCTTCCTCTTCTTTATGTACCGCACATACGGACACGTACAGAAGAAAAGAGAGAAAGAGAGAGAGAGAGAGAGAGAGAGAACACATAAAAATCAACATGAAATTCAATGAATCGAGTTTTGTATGGCATGAGAAAGAAGTTTCGTCAGGGAACACGAAAAAGCTCGCAAAAATGTGACTCGATCTTTTTTCTTATATATAGAAGAAAAAAGAAAAAAAAAAAAGAGTAAGTCGAATGCGAAAGATAGAGAAAGAGAAACGAAGAATAAGAGAGAAAGAGAGAGAGAGAGAGAGAGAGAGAGAGAGAGAAAGAAGAAAAAAAGAGAAAGAAGCTGGATGAGGATTAAAAAGCAAAGAAAAATCAAAAATCTCCCACGAGTATACCGCATTATCATAGAAAACATCATGACAATGTCTACGAAAATGAAACGTACGTGAATGTCCCAATGGAGCTACCAGTTAACGTAACTTTCCAACAATCCCACCCAATTCATTCGGGCGCCTTATTCTTTCGTTTGTTATCGTGTAATCCGTGTAGATCCATATACATCGTGAATTTTCCATCGGGGAAAAGTTTCAAAGAGAAAATTATCATCGTCGAGATCGATATATTGTTTATGAATTCACGTTTTAAGATCGAACACGTCGAAACGCATTTTTTTTTCTTTCTTTTTCTTTCTTTTTCTTTTTTTTTTTTTTTTGATTGCTTTCCCTTTTCTTTCGTTTGTTTTTGGTTTTTTTTTTTTATTTCTACTCTGCGTCATCGTCATTAACGTCATTTACAATCTCCGAATTATTCATCGATATCGTTGCTTTAGTT